TTAACAAGAAAATGTAAAGAAGATTGGTATTATTATTATTGTTAGTTGTCTCTACTTTGGTCGATTGAAACAAAACGAAGAAGATTATGAGAATGCAAATTAGGAAGTAGCAGTGGAATAAAAGTAATAAAACAGCACTATCAGGAAAAAAATTATAAAATGGATAAAGAAGGACAACACCAACATAAACAAGGAAAGAGGAGAAAGCTGAAGCAATAATGCTCTATTGTCACTGCAAACTTGGTCATCTGTCCGGTTTTATGAGGTCCACCTATTCCGTTTACTGCCACCAAAACCACCCAAACCACCATCATCACCAACATCAACATCGTAATAATAATAATAATCATCATCATAATCAGACATTTAATCGACCCAAGTCGGCAGGACAGAGTATGAGTCGCGCAATTGCTTTAAGGTGTCCGTCAAAATGACATTATCGGCGAGAAGAGGTCCTCAGCTCAGTTGGACCGGACTCGAACCAGACCGCCTCGGAAACACCTTTACGAATAGACTCTTCGAGTTGAGCCAGACGACAGTTTTGTTGAATGGTCTCTGACGTCGTCTTCAAATGCCAGCCGCCTCTGCGTCACTCTTCTTCACGCCGCATTCTCCATCGAGACGGAAGTCCGGTCAAGCTTGGCGTAGGAGGATTGGTCGCCTCCACCTCTTCCCCATTCGTCCCCTCCGCCTAGTTTGGGTGTCCAGGCCAACTTGCTACATGTCATGCGGTGCAAGCCAACACTCACAATCGCAAGTTATTCACTCGTCTTTTGGTGTCCGGGGCGGCCCAACGGACGAATAGATGTTGATGTTAATGTTGATGATAATGATAATGGTGGTGGTGGTGGTTTTGATAGCAGTAAACGGAGTGAGTGGACCCCATGACACCAGACAGATGAAAAAGTTTGCAACGACAGTAAAGCATTATTGCTCTCTCCTCCGTAATGCTTCTTCATCATCCTCATATCTTGTTGATGTTGGAGTTGCTCTTCTTTATCCTTTTTCTCTCATCTTTTGCCTGTTAATGCTGCGTTGCTATTTTTTTCCACTGCTGCTACTTAATTTGCAACTGTACCATCCTTTTCTTATTCTTTAATTGACCAAAGTATACGAATAATAACAATAATAG